GATAGAAAGAGATGGTTAAACCGGAGATTTGACAAGCGGGCAGTTGGTGTGGGTGGACCTTGGACCTCAGATTTGACGAAAACAGATAATACAGCGTAATGTGACTGTAAGTGAGAGAGTGAGTGTGTATAATGTTACGCCGCTTTTAGCAATATTCCAGCAATATCACGGCGAGGGACACAAAACATGGGCTTCACACATTGTACCCATGTGGAGGAATCGAACCCGGGTCTTCGGCGTGACGAGCGAACGCTTTAACCACTGGGTTAAGTAGAATAGTGGAATAATAGTTTATTAAAAATAACCACGAAGTCATTCAGAATCCACTTAATCACAAGTATTGACATAAACAATGGACGGATTTTGGAGATTCACACTCGTGATCACTGTCGACTTTAGAGAAGCAACTCTTCCAGTAAAAATCACCCGTTTATAACACCAAATCTATTCCCTTCAAATTTTGATGTTGAGAAAATAAAAATTACGTAACTTGTTCTGTAATTTGTTCAACTGGTCCTTGTTTGTGAATGTATTCTCACTGTATACCACAGCACTGGAAATTGGATTGTAGGATATATTCACCGTGTGTATATACTGTCACAAAAGAAGGAATATCACATGCCTGGGTAAAGCTGCGCATGGACATTCACAGCATACATGAACAACTTACACTCGTGTGAGTGAGTAGCACCTCTTTGAACAATATTCCAGCACAGTGTGTCTGGTGAATGTGGGAGTGAAGCCCGAAGTGATGCAGGTCTTAGAGCTACCGCTTGTCCGTAATAATCACAAACTGAATACTAGGTCTCGGTGATTTTTAAACATAAAAATATATATCACAGTATTTCAACTTAGAGGACGAATTGTTTACATGTTCCGTCGTTCGTAGCATCGTTATCATGCCACTCATATATTTACATATTCCACCCTTGTGTAGATAATAGCGGAACATTTCGGAATGCACGACACATAGTGCGAGATCTTGGCTGGCGTGTGTATACAAAACAAATCAAAATGAATAATATACATTCCTCGACTTAGTAATATTTTTCATGTGTAATATATGTGTTAATGTTTCCTGACGCGTGTTGCAGGCTAACGTTAACATGCAGAGACACCTGGTGACCAGCACATGTCGATTGTTTATGCCTTAATGCCCCTACATGGAGAGGGATTGGGCGAAGAGGGGAGGGGTGGGTAAACGCACGGTAAAACCTCCACAGAAACATGCTGAGAATGTAAGACTTTTTTCTATAAGTTCTGCATTTTGTTGGAGGCTACACGGATAAAATCCTGTTATTTGACCCATTTTTAATAACCTTACTTATTTGTATTTAGAAACATCATGAGAAGCAAAGTGTTTTCACGAGCAGGTCGGTTGTCTTGGCAACTGCATCAATATTCATTATTATAATGTTAGAATTGTTTCTCTGATAGACATATATCACCTTTGCATAATTTGCTGTACACGTTATTCCACAATGTGTGAGTAGAAAGTATTCAATGATGTAACGTGTCTGTGATTGAGTAAAGATCTATGTTTAGCAAAATACATCCGTACATTACCTACGCGTTATCTAATGACAGAGAAACAGGTTTAAGGGAAAAGGACAAGAAACAAAAGAAAAACGAAAAAGAAACATTATCCGAACCCCATGTTCTACACTCTCCTGAAACCTCATGCTTTCGAAGAATTCTTTTTACCAAGCAATAAATCTAACGCTTCCAAAGATTTTCTAACCAAAAAATACAAATAGTCCTCCCAGCACGATGTGAACATGAGAAAGTCATGCATGATTGTATTTCCTGAACAAATTATAGAAACATTGTCAAGAAAAGCATTGGAAGTGGTAATGACCTTTGTTTCAGTTTCTGTGTTGAATTTCAAGGCTCTTAACGATGTGTGCCGTAGACGTGCTTGCTAGGACGGAAGTGCAAGGAGAGGCAGTTTCAAGTGGTAGCTTCGCGGACACAGATTAATCGGAATTATTTATGGCTTATGACTGCTTGCGCCGATTTCAATGCTTTAATTATATACATGTAATAACAAACCGTAAATGTCAATGGGAATGTAACGCAACGATATATGGAAAAGTAACGTGATTATACCGTCGTGCTCATCCATGGAACCAAACATATCAAGGCATGTGGATGTCTTCTCAGCACAAACTTCAAACCGACGAAACTCATGCTATCAAAGTTATCGAACCTGGGAGAACAAATTTGTAAATTGCATCTTTCCTCACTGGGTATATGGGGCTTCAGAAATGGGGTCAAATAAACCCCCGTATACTGGTACATACACTTACAGTGGAATCTGTCAAATCCGGACTCTGTGTTATCCGGTTTTACTCAACAACAACAGGCGCACTAGTCTGCAATACACACCCTGAATCAAGAGAGAGGGGTTGGGGCTCCTTTTCATTATGTGGTATCAGTATAATTTAAGTGTTTATTTCAGAGGCTAGGTGTTAGTTGACTGGCGCGCCTGTATGTCGGTCTACATTGCACAAACAAAGGTGCGTGAGCCGAGATACCGAAAGCCATGTATGTATGTATATACACACCTTTCATGCACTGTACATATACATATACAAATACAAAATAATACATAAGGTTAGATAGGAGAGGATCTCATAAACTGTGATCAGTAGATTACACACACACCAACACACACAATGCGTGAGTGCGTATGCGTTCGCCAGTGCGTGTGCGTGTGCGTGTGTAATGAGACACCTTATTCGATGAGAAGGGCCCTACATTGACAGCCATATACCTGCAGCGGAAACCGTGGTGTACAAGAACTGGGTTCGCTCCTTTCCTGTATTGTCCACAAATATTTATGATCGACACGGGAGAATATAGGAGGTGGGCGCACCTGCTGGCGATGTATGTCTTACATACATGAAATTGTATCGACGGTCATAAATTAGAAGCGAATGATGAAGTGAATTAAACAGGTGAATAAGATCACCATGAAGGAATACATACAGGCATACGTGAGGTTCAGCAATAAACTAACAGCTAATGCGACAAAACACAAAATAAGCATGTTACCAACCAATAAACTTTGAATACGCGTACCGCTGTCGTTAAACATTTAAAGTCGAGAAATTAAATACATTCGTTAAAACGGGCTATTCAAAAATTTAAATCGACCGTTGTGACCCAACTGGGTGGAGTATATATAGGTAAGACCGGATATGTATGGAAGTGAATCTAACGGTAAACCGGGGTGCCTTGCCACTGACGTCACGGGTATTCAGGTGATGTGGGATATAATGGGGCTGAAACCCCCCGCATATTTAAGTAAGACACTATGTAGCTCTCACTGACCTAAAACTGCTGCTGGTTCACAGTCCTGCGAACAACCTGTTTGCATATCACTCAGGCAATGCACTTCATTAAGCGAATTAGATGTATATTTGCAAGACATCCGAGACCGCATGGTGTGTGTTAAATACCTTGACGTAATCTCGATCCGGCAATATACAGTAATTATCCTTAATGGCTAACTTAGTAGGTAGCCAAAGACCGGGCTCTTCAATATATGCAGTGTGCACCAGAGCGCCACGAGACGTCCTAGTAAATTAGCTATTCACGGCCCGTCAATATATGGTAGAAATGAAGCATCTACTTCATGGATGACAACTTGTCATCCATAAAGTTGTGTGCTTCATTTTTGACTCACCAACTTGTAGAATGCAAATCAAATAATTAATGTATGTTATGTAGTGCTTATTCACGAATGTATAGCTATTGCCGGACGATATATGTTAAGCATTACTGACTAAGCTGCATTTATCCGTGACCTGTTGCTGTACATGTATGTATTTCATTTAGCACTGTTCGACCACGAAACTGCCTTCATTATAAATAGCGGGATTATACAGGTTCCGATTTATGCGTGTTTGGTTTCATAAACTGATATTTTAAGTGTAAGTGTTATAAGTGTGAATAAGGACTGATTATAAATTGTTTTATGGGAAAATTTGTTTCAATACGAAATATTTTCTTTATGTAGTTTTAAACATCAAATACATTTGAATTATAAAAAAGTGTGTCTGAAACTTCCACATTAAAGCTTATCCCAGTGTATATGGAATGGACAATTAGCCTACTGTCAGGAAGAGACGTAGATATACATTTATTATGCATTAAAATCGCCCACTCCTCAACATGCATGAAGAGTATAAAATGCTTCTTGCATTTCACGGGGGCGAGATCTGTAATCAGATAAACCGATCGAGTTATTAGATGTTGAGTTGCAAATATATTTACTGTATTTTGCGAATATCTGCATAATAAAAAAAATTCAAGTAGATCTATTTCTTTATGTTTGAAATCATTGTCCCCTGCGATGTTAGAACGTACACTTTAATGGAATGTGAACGGAGCATCAAGACAAAGTGTAATCTATTTCACATACACGTGTCACCGTCACCTGCAGCCATATGTTCCGATTTTCTGCAGATGGGATGGTGTACTTAGTCTCACAATGTGTAACATAAGATCGAACCAGTCGAATCCGGTTTCTGTGAAATCAACATAATTATATGACCAAGGTGCATTTTGCACTAGTTTTTCTCATAACTGTGTTGGGGAAAACACATGTCCAATAAACACATCCAGACATCAGCTTTAGATCAATATCTGTTCAATAAATAGGTCTCTGAGTCAGACTGGAAATTGCATTTTCTTTCCCCGGCATGAAGCCACCACTTCGAACCAGTCTCTTCCACGGAGGTCAGACTGTTCTGAATGCTTTCGTCTGCTTCCCAGACGGATATCCGACGTTTCACAACCTCTACGCCTCTCGAGAAATAGTTCCTATTTTCAAAAGTTGTTAGCATGATTCCAGTTTTTGTGAAATATGATACTGGCAATATGCTTGCATGTGACTAAAATAGAATTAGTGTAGTTATTATGTTGTTTGTGCGATTTTGTGTTTCATATTGATAATTCACGTGAACGCTAACGAACTACTTTCGCAATCTCAGTTTACAGGGGACTCAGCCGCCATTGTATCGAGAAGACGAAGGTGTATAAGTGTCAAAACTGTGACTAGATCTTCGAAAATATGAGTGAACCGATGGATCCAGACTTGTTCCCATGAGTGGGAATTGTTCCACAATCACCAGCCTTCGTGTTGAGGGGACACTGTGCTTCCTAACAATCGTGGAAGGCAATTACATCAACATATTTTAGTGCCTGTTGTTGACCGATATCCAGTGAGCTCTATCAGACATGTAAAACAAGTACAGGAAAATAGGATGGCTGGAGCCTTTCCAGACTGTTTGAACATTGCTGAGTGAACTCAACGTGAATATTCATTTTCCACACATCTTGGCAGACTTACAAACATGGCTGTATTACATACATCGCTGAATCGGCAGAAGGTAATTTGACAGGCGATCATGCCTGTATCGAAACCTCCGCATTAGCGAGAAACTGTGAGTATTTGATTCTTCTCATTCGCCGAAAAGAATCGACCAGTTGAATAATATTGTATTATTCTTTGTTTATAATCTACATCTGTCTCGGATAAAGTGTGATTCCGGATGAAATCACGATGGAGAGGTTAGATGTGGAAACCCCAACTCGGTTTGTCTTCAGTGTGGCACACACGAGTGACAGAAAGGGACTGACCATTCAGTACATCAGGTACAGACTGTTACATGATTTATTTATTTAACCTTTGTTTACATTTTGAGTTATTTTGGTTTGTCTGGAATTTCACAATGAACAAAGGTCAGTTTGAACAGACTGTAAATGGATCCCTAGACATGCCCCAAGATAAAGCACATGATGGACCAGGGGAAACCGGAAAGTCAACACGATCCCCTGTCTTCTTGAAGGGAAAGAGGGGTTCTGGAGACATGGGTCAGAAATTCAGTATTCGTAAGGTAGACAGGCGAGCAAATGGGAATAAACAGTCTCCAGAGAGGATAAGCCATGAGAGGTCCTCAACAGGAAGTAGAATTAAAAGAGACAGGAGATGTATTTCCGATGATATAACTGGCAAGTCTTTGCAGTCTGAGAAGGCTATTGGAAAGAAGACAAGCCGATTTGTTGTCAGCAATGTGGAACCGAAAGATGAAATACTGAAAAAGGATAGATCATCAAGTCTACCAGGATCATCTGCATGTGTTGAGGAAAAGGAAGTGTCTAATGTTGATAATCCCAAAGTGAAAGAAATAACCGTCAAACAAGATAGTAAAGCTAGGACTAGGTCGTCAACTGAAAATTTGAAAGACGGTTCAAATGAGAATCTTTCCAACAGAATTAGATCAATGCAAAGAAAGGATACTAGTGCTCAAAGTCAGGAAAACAAATCAGAGGAACATTGTTTGGTGATCAAACCTGATAAGTCTTCAACAACTATTGGGAAGGACGTTGAGATCAACAGTTCAACACCTGTTCGATATCATCGTTTTATCAGTGAACCTTCTAAACCAGTGAAAAGAAGTGTTAAAATTGATAATGTAGAAAGTAATGTTGTCACAGAAGAATTGCGTTCAGCACTATCCAGTCGGAGTAATGTCATGTATGTGAATGTTGCTGATAGTCATGGCCCTGATGCTAGGATATCTGATCAGAGTGTTTCCATAGATAGTGATACAGCTTTGAGGTTACAACTTGAAGCAGATTCTAAATTACGTAAAGAAGAAGAAAAGGAAGGTGAAAAAAGGAAAGATGAGAGTGAGGAAACTCCCTTGTCATCTTCACCGGGTGGAAGGTTTCTTAAATTTGATATTGAGATTGGCCGTGGTTCTTTCAAAACAGTGTTCAAAGGATTGGATAGCGAAAATGGAGTAGCAGTGGCGTGGTGTGAACTTCAGGTGAGAATTTAGTGTGCTGTTCCTGTTCTTTGGTTTGGTAAGAACTTTTGATTATGTGATGCTGATAGAGGACAAGACACCAGTGCAAATCATAGATTCACACATGCAACAGTTTGTCTGAGGTATTCAATTTTACACTCATTAACTGGAATGGAATGCATACACACAAAATTATATATGCATGTTATTAATATTTATTATCCACATATCTATAGTGCCCTATTACTCTGTCTGCAGATCATTTCATTTTCACTGGATATATTTTGCATTTTAAGGATTCAGTATAGTAATGAAACATATTTAACAGTACATAAGTAGACATAGGTACACTAGAGTTATGAAGCCAAGATTTGTTGCTCTGCATGGCTGTGATTGAAGTTAGATATACTACATTTTCAATGTTTGAACTTTTGTTATTTGATGTCTGACACAGATGCCATTATCAATATTAATAGTGTCCCTGACATTTAATTAACCCAGACACTAGCATATGCCATCAGTGCTTGTTCCAGTAATACACTTCTTCAGATTACATTCCAGGAAAACTAAGACTTATATCTAAAGCATTAAGTGGATTCCTAAATGCAGTATGGATGAAATCAAAATACCGGTATGTTGAATAAACATATTTTCTATTTTAATGAAGAAGACATTATTTCTCAGACTAAAGAAGTTTTTTTTGCAGGCTGTAGAGATGCTCTTGTTTTGGTTTAGTGTTGATGTTGTAGGTGGTTGTTAGATCATTTACACTAGGTCATACCACTTTGCCAATAGTGATATTAAGGTTTTTAGAATATGATTATATGTATTTTCCTGTGTTAACATTTAAAATTTGCATATGAGATGTTGATGACAATCTGTCTGCATTATTTACTCGCAAAGCACCCTATGAAGGAGTCTAGGTATCATTCTACAAAGGCAGGGATTGGGAAAGGCAGGGGCACATTTTGCACATTAAAATAAAAAATGGCCCTTAAAATTTTACTATTGATACAAGGGCAGTGGCCCATTCTAAATTCAGAAAATGGCTAATAATCCTGAAAATGGCCCATTGTCAAGGGATCTTCAGGCTAAGATGATCACATTCTTTGACATACTTTTGAGGATTTCACATTGCTACAATCACTATGAGGTATGAAACCCTGCATGTTAGAGGCAACTTAATGGATCGGGTGGTCAGACTTAGTTGACTTCATGCTAAATTGGGATGCCCTTTCCAATCACTGTTGGCACAGTAGATGTATTTACTATCTAAACATTCTGCAATCCGGATTATCGGCTATGGGATGCCCATTTCCAGTCACTGTCGGCACAGTAGATGTATTTGGTTTAAACATATTTTATTTCATCAAAGAAACCTGGATAGGCGAACAAGCCTAGTGGCTTATATAAATGCTGCTCCAGTACATTGTTCAAATAGCTGGATACATAATCGAAGTAATTTACCGTATTAAAGTAGTTTTCACATCGTATCCTTGAATATAAAAATACATCGTTCTTAAATTTTGATAGTTCTGACATGATAGTAGATGTATTTATCATATAGACATTCTGCAATCCGATTATCTAATAACAAACTAGTTTTCCCCATAAGATTTTAGTTGGTGCCGTTTTCGCCATGAGATTTGTAGCCGTTTTCACCAAGCCAAGGTTCCGTTATGTCCTAATGGTGTCGTTTTTCAGGGTGCCGTTTTGCTGTGGTGACGTTTTAGCCTGAACCTGTACTCAATGTCTTAATGATATGTATTGTAACTCATGATGCCAAAATCATGTCTGGTGGACATCAATCATATAGCTGTTGCAGTTGTAGATAAAGTATGTATCTGGCATGTACTGTATAAAATAATAGCGTATGTAGTGATGAATTTAGGCACAATCCTCAACCCTGTGTCTGTAAAATTCTGTTTGGTGTAGGAGTGAGAGAGTTTAGTTTTACGTAGCTTTTAGCAATATTCCAGCAATATCACAACGAGGGACACCAGGAATGGGCTTCACACAATGTAGTATTTTGTACCTGTGGGGCGAGGGGATTGAACCAGAGCCTTCGGCATGATGAGCAAACGCTTTAACCACTAGGCTACCCCACTGCCCAGTTTGATGTAGGAAGTTCAGTTAATATAAATCCACATAATAACACTTAAGCCAACTGAAAATGATCATAAGTTCAAGGCCACAATGCATTCATAGCACAAAGATCTGAGCTCCCATTAACATAGACCCTCACAACATGGGCAGTTGTAGTGCCATGATAGTTGCAGTTTGGAACAGAACACAGACTAGTAGACCAAATTGTGTATGCATCAGTCTTGCTAAAGAAAAATCTGGCCAAAACATTCTGCAAATGTCTTCCATTAACATGATTAACACAACAAAAGCTGCAAAAGCTAACATTTGTATTCCACAAGTCCATATACTGATAACTAGGGCTGCTCAATATAACCGGTTTACCAGTATTTACCGGTTCAGACATGAAAACGATACGTATTGCAATACGCTGATCGAAAACTGATATTTGCATTCGGAAAACTTAAAACTTTCGTAACACTCTGAAGCCTTCAGATGTTTCATTTGTGCCAAATATTATTTACATTTTTATTTTGTCATTAAAAGTTTTATTAAAGCTTCATCAAGCAATGTGATTTTGTTGTGTTCATGCTTTATAAATCAAGCATTAACTCGATTATGAGTAGTTTTTTGTTTTAAAAATTTCTTACAATATATTGCAATGCACATCGCAATATATGCTTTCGCATCGCAATATATCGCAAAATGAAAGGTCTATGCAATTCCCACCCTTACTGATAACAAGTAGCAAAACTCTTGAAGTGGGAAATTTCCACTGGCGTTGTACTTTAACTTTTTGGTAGTTTAGCAAGGGCTGTAGGACTGGTTCCTCTTGCACTACCAACCAATATCTATGTCAAATCGTTTTCATGCATATTGCATTTCTTTGTGAACCATCTACAGCACTGTTCAATCCTATGGCCAGCCAGAGTGAAAGTGACAAAGTGGATGGTTAATATTTTACCATGTTGTTAAATTCCCTTGAGACCCAATGGGACTTCAGAGGTAACTTTGCGACAAGGTAACCTATGTTTGTCATTTGACTCAACTAAATGGGATAGTTTGTCAGTTAGTTGGGTTAGTTGATAGAGCGTAGTTGTGTCCTAAATACATGGCATGTTGGTCATGCATTCAGTTTACTAATTTGTTTGGGCAATACAGAATTATTAACATGACTGTTAGTGAGCTAAAAAATACTACCCATCAAAAGTTTAAACTCACTTACTCACTACATGTTATGTATATGCATGTGGTTACATCGATGATGAATTTTTCCACTAACGTGGGGGAACCAACTGCAAACCTTATGCAGATGAACTGCACGAGGATCATGCATCAACTTGCTGAAAAGTATGTGCAAATATCATGCATGTGAACAGCTGCGTTTTGGTGTAAAGTTTTGTCAAGAATTCGCCAATTTTCACTGAGTTTCATCATTTATTGAACTCATGACAAATAAACTTTTCAACATTACAAATTTGTTTAATACATCAGTTCATGTGTAAACAGTACCCTTAAACTGTATAGAATATTTTGCAAAATCTAGTTTAGATCAGTTGACTGAAGTAAGTGGCTACATTTACACTAGCGAGTCTAAACTTTTGATGGGGAGTATATATAACTGACCACTGCAAGGACATTCAACTGATTCTGGCTTCGAAACATAACAATCCATGTATTTTTGTGTGAATGCGTGTAGTGGTCTCGTGACAAAAGGAAGAAGTAAAGGCCGAAGTACTTTCCTAGAGTCTTGCAATGAATAAAAATATTGAGCCACAAACATCTTGGTGATCTTTACTTGAAGCATGCCATATCAATGTATGTATGCTTATTAATCATCCCATGTATGTATGCTTATTTAACAATGAAGTTGTCATTGAATTTGATTTCTCTTCTTCCTGCAAATGAAACACACAGTCAGTTACTTATTTAAGTTAACAAGTAGCCAAGAAAAGAGACGGCCCCTTTTAGAATAAAGCTGTCAAGTCTTGGACAGTATTTCATCCATGATGATAGTGACAGCTGTACTGTAATCTTCTGCTTTGACCTGTACCTTCTCAAGATTACAAGGCACTATCTTCCATGTTCTGCTAAGGTCAAATACTCAGTAGCATCATCAAATGCTTGACATTTTACCAGTGTTGATGGTAGTGGGCAGTGGGGTAGCCTAGTGGTTAAAGCATTGCTTGTCACGCCAATGACCTGCGTTTGATTCACTACATAGGTACAATATGTGAAACCCATTTCTAATATCCAACACCTTTTAATATTCCTTGAATATTGCTAATGCTGCATAAAATCATGCTTGCTCGCTTGAAATGTTGATAACATATTGGTCAGGAATTTTAGTGTAAAAACTGTAATCCATTGTGAAATCATAGTATCTGTTGTGAATGACAAGTGCCAGTAAAAATCCTTTTGAAGTGTCAGATGCTGTAAACTCCAGCAGTACATCTCGTTGTCTGTGCTTATGATGAGGGATAATGACGGTGTTGTTCATCTTGAACTCTTAGCTCAGTTCAAGTGTCAAAATCGGCAAGTAAGGCACATTAACAAATACTTGTCATTGAATGATACTAGTTCTGCAATGAATACACGACGAGGTGAATATGATGTTTTACAAATATATAGTAACAAATATGAATATGTATATGAATACTTTGTGTAATAACAAGAAGTTAAGAAACAAATGTCATCTAATTGCTTGAGTTGAAACGTTTGGATTCTATTTTCTATAAAGCAAAAAGAGTAAACAATGCCGCTTATACTTATAGCATAATGATAGTGCATTCGCAAAATAAGTTATGCTACTGTTCCAAGTAAAAACACTCTCTTAGAAGTACACATGAATATTCAATTCCAGTATTCCAGTGACCACATATAATGACTTAAATTCATGAAGGGATATGGTTCGCTTCACTGATTATGCAAGTGGT